CTACACACCTTGGTGGGGTTCGAGGCCTATCTAAATCCTCTGACGTACTTTGGGTCCCACACCCGGTTGCAATGCAACTCCACATTCAACTGACAAAACGACAGTTCTTCCCGCATTTGGGTATCAACCACAACCACCACGATACTCCCGAAGGGCCAGTCCGCATGAGCAGGTTGGAGCGAACTCCAAGGGCCCTTTCTCCCCGTGGTACCAGAATTGAGTCTCCGGTTAGACCTCGTAGCCGAAACTACTACCAGTTGAGCATCCATACTGCTCTGGACTGGTGACCAGGGGCTAGACCCCATTCACTCCTTACAATCACTCACCTTACACACTAGAAGCTAACCCTAACCTTCAGTTAAACGCCTTCGCCGCTTAAATAACTCACCCGCAAACATTTATAACTGTTTAGTATATTCGTTGCTAGAAACTACATTGCCTACACTTAAACGTCCATCTGTCCAATTAATCCCCACACCCCCAATATTCCTAATGTCTGAATACATCGAGCATTCTGCAATAACATGCACCCAATCCCCTATACGCACCTCGCACAAACACCCCGAACTATCAGAAAGGTGCCTCCGATACAAAAATGCACCCAGAGGCCCATGTCCCGTAAACAAAAAGCCCAAACTCAAACAAAATCTGAAGTCTGGGTTACCCTCAACAAACGTAACATCTCGGATGTATTTATATGTCACCCGACCGTTAGGGCTATTATCCCAACGGTCTTGCCACCTATGCCTAACCTTAAAATCCATCCTCTTGCTCTCTAGATAACCCACCTTCTCAATATCAATATGTATTTATATGTCACCCGACCATCTGTCCAATCTGTCGGCAGCATAGAAATACTCAAGCCCCTTCTTAATCTGAACGCACGCTGTATAGCAATCAGATCAAGAGATCACCATGATCGTGAAACCGATTATCACCTATGGAGCGGTATCTTGGTTTTCTAAAGCATCGCAGACTTCGGTAGGGCTTCAACTGTCGAAGCTGCGAAGACTTGCCTGCATCTCCCGCTACATATGGTAATCGAACAGACAGCCAAACAGCCCCTACTCCAAATAATAGTAGAAGGAGTTGGCAGAGGGAAAGTAATCTCGTCCCAACAGATGAAGGTGCTAAGTGATGAAATACCAATAGTCCTTCTCCCAAGGGACAGCATTACCAAAGCAGTAAGCTTCACTAAGAAGTTCAAAGTTACCCTTGGCAGCAAGGTGAAATGGAATTACTCATCGCTGGACCTGCTGCTAAGGGAGAGCACTATCAAGTGGTACACCGACGGCTCGAAAAAGTCGGTGTGTAGAGATAAACCTCCAACGCAACTATCGCAATAAAAGTATTGCCATACTCAGCGATAGTCAGGCGGCACTAAAGGCGATCTCGGCCTATGAGGTCAGATCGCTTCTGGTGCAGGAGGATTCCCTGCGAACGGCTGAACAGCCTATCCAGCAACAACCGAGTGAACCTTATTTGGGTGCCAGGATACAGGAGAATAGCCGGAAATGCACTGCCTGACGAGTTGGCCCGCTCTGCAGCCTCTACAAAAATAGTAGCACCGGAACCATTCATAGCGGTTGGTCCACATACCATTAAAGAGCTGCTCCGTAGGGAGAGGCAGGGAGAGACATTGGAAACAACTCCAAGACATGCGTCATGCCAGGTTGCTAATGGGGGGTTACGACCTCAGACGTTTTAAAGCCGTAATCAATGCTTGTCGCATTATACACCGGCCATTGCTGGCTCAATAACCCCTATCCAACATGGGCTTAGTCTCTTCTGCAAACTGCCGGTTATGTGAAATGGAGCCGGAAACCCCAAAACACCTGCTAGTGGACTGCACAGCAGCCTGCAGACACAGAACTAAGACCCTGGGATCCATGTTTCCAAACAGGGAACGCATCGCTTGACTAGCACCCAGCAAAATATTGGAGTTTATCAACATGCTGGGTCTAGATGAGTCGTTGTGACTTAGGGGAGGACACAATAGACCATAGGTTGCGGTGCATACGTCTAAATCTAACTATCTAGTAGTTCTTCCCTTCCTGTAAATCTAAGATGAACTTATCTGTACCTGAAAACAAACGATTTTTTTTAAACTGAATAGTTACTATTTATGAAATTCGTAAAGAATGTGTTCATTCTTTTACCAAACCTGCAATTGAAACAACGTTTAAGCAGAATACCAGGTGTTAAAAATCCAATTATACAAACCGCTTTGTACTAGTGTTGTCACATCAAGTAAAAACTAACAAAATTCTTTTTTCACCGTATTGTGTGCTCGGAAGGGATTTGTAACATTCATATATCTATGTTACATGATGCTATAAAGGGTTAAAGATTGTCTGAATTTTTGGGAATATTATACAATTTTCTATGTTCCATACTTTGAAACAGAACATATTTTAATCCTGCCATCTGCCAAAAATGTTTAAAATGCGTTTTAAAACTATCATCAAATTTCTAATTTTTTGATGTAAAAGTCACCTAGTACTCAGAATTTATTGTTAAGATTTTTTTGTCCAAAAATGCTGTTTATGGAGGCAAAATAATACCAATTTGTGGGGTGGCCTATCATCACTTCGATACTTTCTTTATATTGTTTTGTCACAGCGCGAGGATAGCGCCTGCGTATATAACATGAAGATTCATACCATTATGAACTTCAAGATATACTTGTATAACTACACTAGTCTAAAAATAAAATAAAGGTTATGCCCTTTTAATGCTTTTGATTTTAATTCAAATTTTTTTTGCAATTTTGATACAATGTTGTATTCAACTAAATAAATATTTGTTTTTGTAAAATTCCAAAAATGTTTTGAAAAGTAACGATCCTTATTACAGTTAATTCGTAAAATCGAAAAATGCTTAAAACCCAATAATTTTTTTACCTATAATAAAACTATCTTTTTTAATAAATAACCTACTACATTCGGTTCAAAATATTTATGTGTCTAATTTAATTCAACGACAGCAAAATGGGAAAATTTTACTTTTTAGAAAAAAAAATTTCAATTTACCTCTGTTTTTTTAACGATTTCCAAGCATTTTTGTGTTACTATTTTTGAAAATCCCTTAGTAAACAAAAATTTAATGAAGTATTAATTTACGGTCTAAGGTGCTGAAAATTTCCAATTACTCGAAGCAATTGCGCAAGCTAAAAATATTAACCTTTCTTTGGTGGCCTCGGGTTAATTTCTGGTGCAGATGTTTCTTCAGAAAGAACGTATATTTTTCGGATAGCGATTTCCAAAAATTAACGTTTTCATCTGTATTCAAAATTGCTTCGTCGGAAAGTTTATTATTTTTTGTTACGTTCTCTAGCGTGTTTATAATTGGCTCCACACTACCTACGTTAGATGACAATTTTAAGTCTCATTGTTTTTGTAGTACAAGCCGATGACTTGTAAACTACATATTTCGTGGATATATTCTTTACCGAAATCCCTTTGGTGGAATCGTCCAAAATGTTTTTTTGTATGTGTTTTTGTAGAAATTTTTTTAATGAATTGTTTTACTTTTAACATAATTGAGATATAAAAAATTTTTTTGGGCATTTTTTTAATAGTTTTTAACAGTAACGTTATATGGGGGGTGGGCGTTGTTATCAGTCGATTTCACCCATCTTCACACTGTCAATAGAGGTACTAAAAACATTTTTTCTCTTAAAATTTTACACTGCGGATTCCTCTCCCTAATGTGATCCTGTGTATCAAATAACAGTCTTGTATGTTATTGTGGAGCTTAGTTATGGCAATTTATTTGTTTTTGATTAATGGCGTTTTGTGGGCGTGGCAGTAGTCCGATTACGCCCATCTGCAATACCAACCGTCTTACGGTACCAAGAAACATGTGTACCAAGTTTCATCAAGATTTTACCAAATTTTTACTCAAGTTACAGTTTGCACAGACGGACGGACGGACAGACAGTCACTCGGATTTCAACTCGTCTCTTCATCCTGATCATTTATATATATATAACCCTATATCTAACTCGATTAGTTTTAGGTGATACAAACAACCGTTAGGTGAACAAAACTATTATACTCTGTAGTAACAAGTTGCAAGAGTATAAAAATATTATACAACTGTAAATTTCGGTCAACTTTCGGTGATGGTATGGGCTTCTATTGAAAGACTTGGAGACCTCGTTATATTGGTAGACATACATATGTATGCTACGCCAAATCTGAGCATTTTAAGTTCATATTTACGTAATACACAAACCACTTATCTTAAGAACTTTGCTGCTTTAGAACTGCAACAACGTACTAATCGCACAACATAAGACTTAAATTCGATTATAATAGTTTAGAGAAAAAAAATATAATATATATAACCCTTTATCTAACTCCATTAGTTTTAGGTGATACAAACAACCGTTAGGTGAACAAAACTATTATACTCTGTAGCAAAAAAATAAAAGGAATATATAAAAAGATCACAGTAATCCACTTGATGCACCAGTGGAGTCGCATATGAAATTTGGATTGCATTTACTTGTATGTTTGTATACATGCTTACTTTACAGATTTATATCACATTATCGACTGCATAAAGACGCATTTGGGTGTTAAATTGCGTTTGTTACGTTTTGCAAATTTTCTTAAAATATCTTGATTTTTTCCATAAACTCGATAATTATGACATTTTTTGTTTTATTCTTATGTTTTCCCCTATAGAAATAACGCTAAATTAAATCGTAACAATAATTTTCTTAACTTACATTTCAAATCTGTCAGCAAAATCCTCTTGCTTTGTTTCTGATAACAAAACCGATAAAATTGGTTTCAGTGACACCCAATACCGATACAATTTCTGTTTCGAACGTCAAACCAATAATATCTGATTTCATAACACCTACTACATTTTTTTATCGGTTTCAATTCTGATTCCGACAACTATCAGATTCTACAATACTCCTGTATCAATTTACAAGTAGCTTTATTTACGGTACATACAAGCCTGTTCATAGAAATAATAGTAAATATGGGATTTATATTTGCATTTTATTGACGAATTCCGGTTGTAGATTTACAAAAGTCCATATACATACATACATAAAAATAATATAAATATACATATGTTTGTATGTACATTAGTAAACGTTTATTAAGTATATGTATATCTTTGTATTATTTTATTATAAACTTACAGCCAATAATTCATTCCTACACTACTGAAATTGTTGTACTTCTATTGTTAATAATATAAAAAAAAAATTAACATACATGTACTTTCATACAAAATTATTTATATAACTATTAATTAGCTTACTACAAACTGAAGCAATATCAATAAAAATATATTTTTGAACTCAACTAAGTCTAAATGTAATGTATTTTTCATAAAGGCTTTAAATTAAAGTTATTTCAAATTGCGAAATAAAACTAGAGTTAATAACTATTGTAGATACGTATAAAAAATAAATCTCGAACAATTTAAAACAGTTCAGGCAATATGCCTCATATTGAAACTCACGACTGTACAGTCGTATTTTTAAAAATGCGTAATTCGCAAACCCATATATATACATATATTCCGAATATATTTACATATAAGTCTCGAGCATTTAACCTATACACTTCCAATTAGATAATCATTGTCGTTGGCTACGCGCAAGCTCCTATTTCAATTGGTCCGCATTGGTAACATACCATAATGTTGTTGTTGTTGTTGGGAAGGTTGATGTTGCTGAGTGAGGATTTGTTGTTGTTGCGATTGCTGTTGTTGTTGTGATGGAGGTTGCTGCTGAGGTTGTTGTTGCGTCGTCTGTTGAGGTGGTGGTGGCATACCTTGACCGGAACTCGCAGTATATGTGACTACACCGGTCGCTATTTGCGGCGGCTGAGACACGACAACTGGTGCTGTTACTTTGCGCTCCGACTGCGTACGAATGGATGGTGGAGCAACGACTTGGGAATGACTCGATGTCATCGGTGGGGGTGGGGCATACATGAGAATCGGTTCGCCAGAATTTGGATTACGTGCTGGTGGGGTTACTGCTGAACCATGATATGATCCATATGAACTGTCATCCGATTGTGCCGATTGGCCACGGTTCCGATGCATGGCCATGCCGTACGCCGACTCAGGCCGACGATCGTATTTAAGATTACCATCGAGTGGATTTGGGTTATGACGTGTACCATATACAGGCTGAAAGCCCTGTTGACCATCTTGATTTGTGGGTTGTGGTGGTTGGTGAAGTTGTGATTGTTGTGCTGGTTGATGTTGATGGTGATGTTGTTGATGATGTTGTTGTTGCTGATGATGTTGCAGCTGTTGTTGTGACTGTTGCTGATGAGATTGTTGATGTTGCTGTTGTTGATGCTGTTGCTGATGAGATTGTTGATGTTGCCTTGTTGATCCCCTTATACCGTATATGCTCTCTGAACGTTGCTGTAACTGATTCTGTACATTCTGATTTTGTAAATGCGATGACTGAGCTTGTGTTTGGGTCTGTGTCATACGCATGCCGTATAAGCTTTGTGCCGGTACTAATGGCCCCGGACGAGGTACAATCTCCCGATTAATAGCTGTGTTACTCTTGGTGTATACAGACTGTGAACGATTTAGGTTTGTACGTGTGAGTGTGGGTGAGCGACAGTACAGGGAACGTGTGCCACCATACAATGGCTCTGACTGATCAAATTTATTAAGAGGAGGTGCTGTATACAAATTCTGGCAATAGTTTGCTCCACCTGGAATAGTACCAGTGTTACTTGGGATCGCCGTTTTTGTACTCGCTTGTCCGCGTGGATATGTACTCTGAGGGTATTTAGCAGGCATGTGTGACTTTTCAACGTCTAAATCGAAGTTAAGTTCATCTTCGGAATGTATGGAGGAAGAGTCGTTATCAACATTTGGTTTGTGAGCACGTGAGTTTCGGCGCGTACTGAAAACATATTCGAATAGCAAGCCGGATGCAATGCCGCCGACAAGTGGGCCAAACCAATAGACCCAATGATTATCCCACTTATTAAGTACAAAAGATGGGCCTAACGAACGAGCCGGATTTAAGTAAGGCATCTGCAATAAAAAAGCATACAATTGTAATTAGACGCTTTTCACAGATTTTAAAATATTAACATATGTTATACCTAATGGACTACCTTGTTCATCCTGTCACATTTTTGGAATCCTATTTTTAATAGGTACATTTTTTTGCTACTACAAATATCACAACCGAATACACACATATATTCTCTCTCTATATATATGTATATATATATATATATAAATATATATATAAGTGTGTGTATAATATACACCTAATAACATACACATGAGGATGTCATGGGTACTTTCAAGATTCCTAAATAGTCATTGATTTCCTACCTCTTCTTTGTTTCTTTATACCGACTACATTCGCATTAGAAGTTCCGAAACGACAGGTGTTTCCTACAATGTTTTGAACATACCTACCACATACATATACATACATATGTATGAGTGAATTTTGTACACACCTAAATACGCGCCTAAAAAAGTTACATTCATAGCGTATCCATGGGTACGTAGAACGAATCGAGTTTCATTGCTACCTTAATTAATAATAGGAACTAGTTTTTGGAACTAATTTTTAGATATCGCAAAGACCGAGGTCTTAATATGTCATACATATGCAATTTAACGCTCGTGTATACGTAAATACTTACCTCGTTATATGTATGTAGTACTACTAGGCATATAAAATCTACTTACAGAAACAAAACTGCAAGCACTATACGCAGACCCCACTGTAGTGGCCGAGTTGCCCATAAAACGCTTCATGGAGTCGGTTGAAACAAAATAAGTGAGTACAACGACAAAAGTCAGGCTAAACTCCACACCAAATCGTTCCCAGGCGGCCAATGACGCGCTGTGAGATATTGCTGCTTGTAGATTTCCCTGATATCCAGGTACGGTAACACTAAAAGTAGAAGGAAATGAAAATAGAATTAACTTAGATTTGTCATTTAATAAAAAATGGTTATTACTTAATCTTATAAAAGTATTTGCCAGTAAATGGCAGTAAATGCAATACATATATAAAGGTATTTCTTCTGTGCCTGTGTAGGTCACTAAACTGCTCCTAAACGGCTGGACCGATTTTCATGGAATTATTATTATATATTATTAGTATATTCAGGTGGATGCGAGAATGGTACAATATAATTTTAGTTGTTTATTTGAATATAATAATTTAAAATTTATACATTGTTGTTGATCAAGAAATGTTTTATATTCGATTCAGCAGACTACGCTACGATCGCAGAATCGGATGATCAATAATATTCCATTTTAATTCCAGTTTGTATTGACAGCTGCTGCTGCGATCACATTCAGGAAAATATTTCGGAATATCGTTATGGTTGTGTTACAAAAAATCGTGTTATAAATTAAATATTACTTTAGGATTAAATTAGTGCTAGAAAAATTTTGAAGAGTGAATAAAAAACTATCGTTTGTATATTTAGTGTGTAATTGAAGGAAGTATTTTATATAATTTTCTATAAATTTTTCACGTCCGTTGATTAAAGTGCCCTGGAGGCGGTTAAATAATTATGTTAAGCATTGCATATGTGCACTCACATAGTCCGGTTGTCATGTCATCATCGAAAGACAATTTGCTTATATTAGGGTCTGCTGCAGTTTTATTGGAAAAAAGAACGCAAATAGGAAAAATGTCAATAGAAAAACAAAGACACAGTAATGCGAGAACGCTTAGATATTTAACTAAAGTAACTTAATCTTATAATCACTATTATACGGTCAGTAACTCATAAATTAATGATTTTAAACAATTAAAAGTTCATTAAATTTTAACATGACTCAAAAAAAAATTTTATATTAAAAAAATAAAACAAATCTAAAACATTTAAATAATATAAAAATAAAGATTTATGGAAACTTCTCGTCTTTTAATTACATTTTAGCTTTTTGACTAATATATAATCATAATTTTTTTTCATCCGCGACTTGTTCTTTTTTCAAATGTCACTATGCAAATAATATTTTGCTTGTCAAACATGAGTGAACACGATCAAACTTGCTGCCGTCAAATAGAAATATCAAAATTTTTTGATTTTCATTATACAGACAAAAGCCGACGACATAAATATACTTAAAGCGTTTGATGGAATTATTTGATCGTACCCAGAGCACTTAACCACCGCTCTAACGGTATAATCAGAAAAATAAAATAATAATAGAACAAGTAAGAAAGGCCTAAAGCCAATTCAAATACAACATTAACGTGTGATATTTTATAGTGAAATAACCAAGTGCAGAACACAAATGGTATGCCACAATGAACGATTTGCTTTCAGTGGTTCTCTCTAATAAAATCGGCGACGGTTGCTTGGCAAAGCGTAAAAACATGAGAGTTGCCCAACATTTTGCTTGGCTTCGCGTCGAAAACTTTTTATGTTAACGTACTCATATAAAAGCGTACATCGAACTTGTCGTTAAAACAAATATCTGACGCAAAGCGAAGCAAAAGTTTTATATGAATTGGCCATAAGTTCGCCGAACATTTTATATCCACGCAATTTGCAAGCTTGGAATAGGAAATACCTCAGATGTTAGCAAAACTTTATATTAAACAAGTAAGGAAGGGCTAAGTTCGGGTGTAACCGAACTTTTTATACTCTCATAACTTGCAAGTATTCTTTCAGAATTTCAAGAATATATCTGACAGATTGACCGATATTTTCTGTAAAAAGTTCGCAATAGCAACTGGCGTCCACATATTCGGTATCATTGGGCTTGAACAGTTGTAGTCTGATTTTGACATGTTTTGGTCATAAGGTGACACACCTTAAACGTACTATTCGTGCAAAGGTTTATCCCGATACATTCATTGGTGATTGATTTGTGTCCTGAAAAATAAAAGAATCATATGAAATTTAAAATGAAGTTAGTTACACTGTAATATAGGAATGTTAGGATAATGTGATGTACTGGATTTGGTTGAAATTGGTCGTTGATAATTTATATATGCATAACCGTATATCTATCTCGATTAGTTTTAGGCGATACAAAAACCATTAGGTGAACAAAAAAAGTGTAAAAAATAAAGAAATAACTGCTTTTAGGGACTGTGTTAAAAAGTTTGAAGAAGCATAAAGGATAAAGCATAAAGTAAGGGGATATAGAGTAGTATAGTTGTATATACAAAATAATTGGGAAAGATTAGTATTTTTATAATTTATGCAGCTTTAGCTTTTTCCATCAAGCTTTGATTTTTTTTGTGTAAAGGTTTACAATTACTAACTCCTTATTTGATTAAGTTTTAACATTAGTAGAAAACGGACGTCATTTAACAAAATGTTGTCCTGTTTGTATATTTGAGGAAATTTATTGAATAACAGCGCCAGAAATCATTAAAACTCACAATGGCAACATAAAAATATAAAATAACCAAATAAACATGCACATAAATACAAGCATACCCACAAAAATGCCAGCGTATAAAGTATGATACATTCACAAACAAGAAATAAATATTTGAATGTACGGAGAACCATTTGAATGCAAAAACAAAACATCCCAAGGTAATCGTTACTGAGCCCAACGCTGACTCTTGCGATCTACTTGTACGACACATCGGTCATACGTTGGTTGCATTTTTCTCACGGTCAAGCAGATTTACAGCAAAGGCCTGAGAACCATTTAGGTGTCTGTCCATTTTGTTGGTAGCAAGAGAGCTGCGCATGAATCTCAAGTGAACCAAGGATGTAAAATTACCAAAGAACACACAATCACAAATATTGCAATGATGGTACGAAAACGTTTCAAGATCCAAAAGCTGTTCACTTGTATTCCAATAGAAGATGGATTCTTAAATTTTATTTTTATTTTTTATATGTGCTTTTTTCAACTTTTCACAAATTTGACTTTCGGTATTACTTTGTGAAGCAACTGCAAAAAGCTTAAATTCTAGCTGTATTGGGTTTCTGGTTGTTTCTTTTTTTGACAAGGTATCAAGTTTTCAGTAATTATAGTGCAAACCTATCTTCATCGGTTTCATCAGCACCAATATATTTGAACCGTGTGTATGAATGTAAGATTATCTGGGAATTCGTTGTCATGAATACTTTGCATCACTATTTGGGCCTGCGGATGTGCATCATATGATATACAAGATTATACCTTTAAAAAACCAATAAGCCAATATGTAAATGTAGTACATGTGAAGCATAACCTGAGCTTTCATATATATTGAAGTTTTTTACTGTCCTATTACCTGTCTTATTAATAAATCACAATATTATGATGGACGGTTCACGATGAATTGCTAAATAATCGTTCGTTGTCTGTTCTGTTTTGTAGTTTGAAATAAAGCAGACTCTACTTTGGTGAACATTGACAATTTATCAACTTATTCTGGGGGTAAGAAAAATGGAATCGCATTTCTCTCTGTCAGGATTTATTAAACATTATTTGACTATGTAAAAGAAATTATATTGACATTTTAATATTTAAACAGATATAACTGGGCCAATCTTGGGAATCACCTTTTTCCAGAGCTGCTTTTTGAAAAAATATAAAAAATGAGGTCTGAATCTACATAAGATTTGCTAAGAATGTACGTACAAGTATGTTTATCGCTTTATATAAATTTTTCGCAAAATGAAGTTACTAGGCTGGTTTAAGGTTTAATTGTTTTCCAAAAAAAATGTACATTAAATTGTTTATAATACTAATATTATATTATTGTTAATAATATTACAGTGAAACTACAGTTTTGTATGTAAATTCGAGACGCGATGGAACTAAATATTGAAAAAAATCAAAATCGATTTTGATTAAAAATGTATTATTTATTTATACTTATATAAAAAATTTAGTATTTTCAAAGATTCGGTGAATTTACAATGGTTGCTAGCATTTTTGCTCCAACACTCTTTTTGAACTTTTTATTCAAAACCAAGAAAATTTTCTTCAATTTTGTTTCGACATTTTATAATAATAATAATAATAACCCAACGATTACCCTCCTCCCGCCCAACCGACGCGAGGGTCGCAATCCGCATACGTGCGGAATTAGCCGAGTCAGAAAAGGCAAGAGAGTTTTTTAAGTGTGGAGATCTAAAACTGCTCAGCTACAGAAACAAAAATTTCAACAGCTAAGATCTAAAGTTACAATATAATAAATTGTTACATTTTCATTTTTTAAGAGAAAGCAATAAAGTCTTTTTAATTTTGAAAAGTGAGTCAGATAAGTCAAATGTGCTGGAATGAGAATTAAAATCATGACATATACGGCGGAATGGCTCGTTTAGTTCAAAATTTGATCTACAGGATTTTAGCAGTAAAGGTCTAAACTGCCTCGAAAGGCGAACCGGGATATTAAATTTAATTTCAGACAGGAGAAAAGAACTGCAAACAGTTCCATTCAAAAGTTTCACTAAGAATGTTATGCCAAGCATTTCCCTACGACTAGAAAGTGTAGGTAGATTAATAAGTTTTAAGCGACTAGTGTATAGGTAGACTTACCCTAGAATCCCATCGGAAATGCGCTAAGGCGAAAAGTAAAAATTGTTTTTGAACAGACTCTAACTTGTCAGAATAGATTTGGTAGCTAGGGTTCCATACCACAGAGCCATATTCCAATATAGGTCTAACCAAAGTTGTATAAAGTGTTTTAGTAATATACGGATCTCTAAATTCTTTAGACCAACGTTTAACAAAACTGAGGACAGCTTTTGCTTTCAAGACCATGGTATCAATATGAAGACTGAAATTAAGCTTAGGGTCCATATTAACTCCCAAATCAACATAGTTTAAAACTTGCTCTAGAATATGGTGTTTTATTACATAAGAAGAGGGGTGCAAAGATCTACGGGAAAAGCACATCGTCTTACATTTATTGAGATTCAATGGCAAATCATTTCTATCACACCATGCAACCAAATTGTTTAAGTCTGTTTGCAACAGACACCTTTCCTCAGTTGAAGTGTATGATTTACAAAGCTTTACATCGTCAGCGTATAATAAAATTTTTGAGAATTCTATTACTGAAGAGATATCGTTAATAAACAACAAGAACAGAATCGGGCCAAGATAACTACCTTGCGGAACACCAGAAGAAACATTAATTGTATCTGAAGGTGTATCCTCAAATATCACTCGTTGTGTTCTATTATAAAGATAGGAAGATACCCATTGAAGGAATCTTGGCTGAAAGCCCAGCAGATCAAGTTTATGTATGAGAATCGAGATATTTACTTTATCGAAAGCTTTGCTAAAGTCTGTGTATATAACATCCGTATGCTTATGTTCCCTAAAACCCAATGATACATGGTTTACAAATTCAAGTAAGTTTGTTATAGTCGAGTTCCCTTTACGAAATCCATGCTGAGATGAGGAAATTAACGGAGAAATCGAAAAGGTTATATGGTCAGTGATGATAGCTTCAAAAAGTTTAGGTATAACTGATAGTTTTGCGATACCTCTATAGTTTTCAATGTTGGATCTAAATCCACTTTTATGCAAAGGGATCATAAATGGCTGTTTCCATACCGTGTTTAAGAGAGGAATTAAATATCCCTGTCAAAGGCAAGTAAATATATTTGGCACTATTTTTTAGGAAGCATGAGGGTATCATGTCTGGGCCATAACTAAAAGATGGTTTTAACTTATTTAAATTAAAAAGGACGTCTTCTTCAGAAATAATTGGAGCGTTAATTAAAGTATTCGAACACAGCACTTGCTGATAAGAAAAAGTTTTGGAAGAATTATTACAGTAGTTTGACTTGAAAAATTCTGCAAACATATTGGATATAATATCATTGTCACTTGAAATGATAGATTTGTATTTCATTGCGGACGGAAATTTGGAAATCCCGCGTTTGGAGTTGACGAAATCATAAAACGATTTTGGATTACTTACAATATTTTTTTTTTACTTTATTTAAGTAATTATTATAACATTTTTTGTTTAGGTCAAAATATTGTCGACGCAATAGAAAATATTTAGAATAGTCGACAAGTGAACCGGTTTTTTTAAAATGTTTAAAGGCTCGAGTTTTTCTGTTTTTCAATTTATATAACTCTTTCGAAAACCACGGACTTATACTTTTGCTTTTATTAACAATTACTATTGGAACATACTTTTCAAATAATTTCATAATAATGTTATTAAAATGAGAGACACTCAATTCAATGTCACCATTATAATTAGGCCATGTTATTGTAGAAAGATCTGTATTTAATTTTTTTAAATTAGCTTTTGCAAAGTTAAACAGAGTACAGAAGCACGAAGTTTGATGATTATTATCCCGTACAATGCCTGAGATTTCGGCAGATATTTCCAAAGCAGGATGATATGAGTCCTCTGGTAGAACAAGAGGATTACTCTGAATAACGGAACACTTGCAGAGGTATCAACGTATACTAAATCTGAGCATTTACCAAATTTATTCGGAATCAAATTAATTTGGTTCAGACCCAACTCGGACATTTTTTCGAAAAACTCATTAAAACATGACCGATTGCAAATCGGCACGATATAGTCATCGAAAGGTTTCCACGAAGCACACGGTAATTTGAAATCACCTAATACAATTATTGAATCTGCATTATTTGCCATCGAGGTAGCACTATTTATTAAAGAAGCATGCTGCATGTATACAGATAAGTCCGAATGGGGTGGTATATAAGATAGGGTTAAATAAATAAAGCAACTATTAACGTATACTCTAATACATTTAAATTCAAATGAGTTGGTATTATAAAATGCAAAACAATTTTTTAACATATTTCTTTCAAAAACTGGATTTATTTCCATCAATCAATATGGATCATGATCCAAATATTCCAATTTATATTGAACTTGTGACAGGCGCCATAAGGTCCCTTCGTCTTTCCTCATCGTCCCCTCGGCTACAAAAACTCTACGGTTTGGGCGACAAAAGAGTCCGTGTGTGAACGCAGTTTAAGTAAACAATTGAAAAGGTGTAAACTCCTATCATCTTGAAAAAAAAGATTATATGTATGTAAGTATATATGTACATATATGAGCTTATAAAAAGAAACAAGTCGTTCTAACCACACATTTCATAACAACATATTGTCCAATTAATAAAAGAGAAGAGCCAAAAAAACATAATGATATAATGTCGTGAAAAACGTTGACCTAAAAATCTGCAATTTGTGTTGTGAAAGCAACACTTCAACCCTTTCGCGGTTTTAGATCGCATATAATAATGGTGTTTTCAGTGGTTTTTACCAAAAATTTTTAGTAATTGGTTTTATTTGCAATTGAAGTAGTATTCAACTGCGATCCCTTTCCAAAATGCAACTCTTTGAATCCTTCACTTTTTATACCCTCAACAGGGTATACAAAGTTTTCCACGAAGTTTTAAACATCAAGAATGATACCTATAAAATAGTTATATACATAAATGATCAGCAATGAGCTGAATTGATACATGCCATACAAATTGAAGAATCGGAATCAAGTTCTTGTAAGGAGCCTTTGTATTTGTGAAGGGTTGCACCGAAGCTAACGTTTTATTTTTTGTTTTTACAGTTCTTGCGGTCACGTTGTTAGTTACATTGAGTGTGAATTATGTCTGTATTTATGTATGGATGTGTGAAAGGGATGTTGCCGCAGACTGGCACACCAAATAAGATTTATCCTGTTATGTATGTTTGTACATTTGATAATGTTTTTCCACTCTATGTTGCTTTTTGGCAGGCCATGAAAGTTTTCCTAAGCAATGCGCACACGCGTTCAATTAAATGCAGCAAATAGTGCAAAAATAGAATCAAATTCATAAACACACGCAAGTAAGTAAAAACCCAATATGTTGTTTTAGTAGGGATGCCTGCATTTGAAGCAACCACCAAAGAGGTGAAAGCGGATAAGCCTTCTTTTTATACCCTGAACAGGGTATATTAAGTTTGCCACGATGTTTGTAACACCCAAAAGAAATGTCGGAGACCCTATAAAATGTATACATAAATGATCATCATGATGAGCCGAGTTGATTTAGCCATGTCCTCTGTCTATCCGCCTGTTTGTCTGTATATACGCAAACTAGTCTCTCAGTTTTTGAGATATCGATCTTGAATTTAGGATGTGGTAATAAGCTACTTATTTGTCGGAATGACCGATATCGGACCACTATTGCATATAGTTGCCATACAAACTGAACAACCGGAATCAAATTATTGTATGGAAAACTTTTTCATTTGACGAGATATCTTCACGAAATTTGGAACGGATCTAAGATAATAATGGAATCTCCGAAGAATTTTGACAAACTGAACGATCGGAATCAAGTGTTTGCATGGAAAGCATGGAACGGATCGTTATCTAAGATAATAATGGAATTTCCAAAGAAGTTATTCGGATCGGATCAGTATAGCATATAGCTGCTGTACAAGCTGAACGATCTGAATCAAGTTTATCTAAGCAACCTGATGAATTTGTGAAAGGTATTATAGCTTCGCTGCAACCGAAGTTAACGTTTGTGATTATGGTATTGTCAAGAGCAATTCGCAAACTACCAGGGCGCACTCGTCCTATGTATTCGATGCACGCTCACTCAGCGGCAAGTGTTTATTATCTTAAGTTGGCTGGTTCTTGGGACAAAATAGAAGAGCAGCAACAATGTTTACTTAATTGTTGACAGCAATG